CCAGCCAGAGCCCTGCCCTCCAATAGACGCCAGGCTGCTGCCCTCTCTCCACTCAACTCCTCTCTCCTCCACCCCACAGTCCCAGCCGCCCTGACCTTGGACCCGGGCACTGCTCACCAGCGCCTCATCCTGTCCGACGACTGCACCATCGTGGCCTACGGCAACCTGCACCCCCAGCCGCTGCAGGACTCGCCCAAGCGCTTCGATGTGGAGGTGTCGGTGCTGGGCTCGGAGGCCTTCAGTAGCGGCGTCCACTACTGGGAGGTGGTGGTGGCCGAGAAAACGCAGTGGGTGATCGGCCTGGCCCACGAGGCCGCGAGCCGCAAAGGCAGCATCCAGATCCAGCCCAGCCGCGGCTTCTACTGCATCGTCATGCATGACGGCAACCAGTACAGCGCCTGCACGGAGCCCTGGACGCGGCTCAACGTCCGGGACAAGCTGGACAAGGTGGGCGTCTTCCTGGACTACGACCAGGGCCTGCTCATCTTCTACAATGCCGACGACATGTCCTGGCTCTACACCTTCCGCGAGAAGTTCCCGGGCAAGCTCTGCTCCTACTTCAGCCCCGGCCAGAGCCACGCCAATGGCAAGAACGTGCAGCCCTTGCGGATCAACACCGTGCGCATCTAGCCCCAGCCGGGGCTGACCCCAGCTTCTCTCGGGGCGGCTGCCACCACCAGGAGCCCTGCCCAGGACACACGGGAGGCCTGGGCTCCAGCCGGCCTCGGCCACCTCCAGCCCCCATTGCCCTGTGTGAAAGGTGGAGGTTGTGCTCCACAAAGCTCTAAACTCCTCCAGCATGGATGCTCTGTGGCTCTGACCTTGAGGGGATGCAGCATTGGTCCAAGGATGCGACATGGCTTCTCCTCAGGGCAGCCCCTGCCCAGCCCTCAGCCCCTTCCTCCAGGGGCAAGAGACTGACTTCCTCCCGTGTCTGCCCCCTGCCCAGCTGCTGTGGCCTCAGGACCTGCCAGATGTGGCCTTAACATTTTACTTCATAATTACACTTTTTCTCTCTCTCTTTTTTTGACAGGCAGAGTGGACAGTGAGAGAGAGAGACAGAGAGAAAGGTCTTCCTTTTGCCGTTGGTTCACCCTCCAATGGCCGCAGCGCGCTGCGGCCGGCGCACCGCGCTGATCCGATGGCAGGAGCCAGGAGCCAGGTGCTTTTCCTGGTCTCCCATGGGGTGCAGGGCCCAAGCACCTGGGCCATCCTCCACTGCACTCCCTGGCCACAGCAGAGGGCTGGCCTGGAAGAGGGGCAACCGGGACAGAATCCGGCGCCCCGACCGGGACTAGAACCCGGGGTGCCGGCGCCGCTAGGCGGAGGATTAGCCTAGTGAGCCGCGGCGCCGGCCCTGAGCTGCTCTTTTAAAACGAGAAGCCTGGGATGTGGGTCAGCTTCTTTCAGTTAAGCCACTGCAGCTGGAAGCTCGTGTGGGAGAAAGCAAAGTGTGTGCGTTCATGGCATGCGCGAGGCACCGGGACCTGCCATCATGGATGCACTGGGCTCCTGAGCAGCCTATTTGTGAAATTCATCACTTCACCTTTATACGCTCAATGGATTTCATCACAGCCGCATTCCATTTCGAGACCTTAATGTTTAGCTGGCAATGACTGCCCGAAGAAACAATTTTAAGTATGTGCTTTTGGTGGGCGCCAGGCCCAGGGGGAGTGTATGGCTGCCCAGGATTTTAACCTCCAATCCTTACCCAGTTTAACGTTGGTTCCTGACCACTGAGACAGCACTGGGGCCATTCCTGCAACTGCAAAGGTGCTTCTATTTCTGTACATTAAAAAAAAGTCTGAAAAGACAAATTTAAGACCACGAATGTTAAGATAAATGTTAAGTGTGAGATCCGAACAGAGAAAGGCACAAACTCACCAGCTAGGAGGACATTACACACTTAAAGCACGTCAACGGCTCAGGTTACTAAAAAAGTAGCCAAGGAAGTTCTAAGCAGAAGCCCAAAGACCCACATCTGATGTGCGTTTGTTAACTGGCACTCACCTACCCAAACTAAACTGGGGCTACGTGTGAGCCTGCTCTCCACGGAAAACACTGCTGAAGTCAAGAAGGTTAAATTACATCTTCAGTTTCCACGGGATAGCCTATGCAATTGGTTACGAAAAGCTGCCTTAATTTGTCAAGTGTCTCCATCTTCCCTGCCATGGACCCCGACCCCACCCCCCGGGGTCATTACCAAGCATGGGCTGAAAGGTTCAGGAAGTGAGCACCCTGATGGACAGCATCCGGGCTGTGTGTGCGAGGGGAGCGGGTGGGCTAGCCCGACAGGGCGGGCCTAGCATACAGCATTCACAAGCATCTCACAGACAGGTGTCCAGCTAGGAACTCAAATCATTAAATAAGCAAGGAATGGCCTTTGCGCCAGGCAGAGCAGGCCGAAATCCCACAAGCTCCCTTTATGCCGACACATGACTGAGCGGACGGGATAATCTGCCGCTGCAGTCCTGAACCACATGCAGCTTGGAGAGGACGGTTCTCTCTCCCAGCCCTGGGAGCACAGGTAACGTCTGTCCCCCGTCCTTCCAGGATCCTGAACCAGGGGAGAGAGCACCAAGCCAGAGCAAAGAGAAAAACAAGAACACAGAAGTTGTAGGAGAATCAGGTTTCTGCAGCATCATGTGTTTTATGTTCTGCTTTAACCTCAAATAACATGACCAGATACGAAATCACAGGCAAAACATTGGACATAGCAAAGAAAACCAGAGTCTGAATGAAAAGATGCAAAGCTGTGTGAGCGCCAGCCTGAGCCAAGTGCACAGGACAGAGCCAGGTACTCCAGAGAGTGACTTCTGGTTGCTGCACAGGCATAGGAGTTTTCTCAAAAAGCACTTTTGTCTTAAGAACTGAAATGCTTATTACGGCCCCAAGGGAGGAAGCAGAATTTTTGGTTGAGTACTTGGCATACGTGAGCCTTGCATTTCTGAAAATTCCTTCGAATTTCCACAGATCTCCCCTTTTGAGAAGTTCAAGTGGTCCCACCTGCCTCACCACCCCCACCCCAATGCCTACAGGAACCACAGTTGATTTCCAGATAATCACCTGGCCTCCTCTATCCTCTGCCCTGAGTTATCACAGAGGACACTGCATTGAAGCACATGGTCACCCCACGGCCTCCCCACATGGTGGACACAGCCATCTGATTAACTCCCTCCTTGGAGCTTTTTAGGACGTTATTTAATACCTGATCACTAGGAGCAGGTTCTACACACACAGGGAGATGGTGTCTTAACAGAAAGGTTAATGAACCATATGCCCAAGTTTTGTAGTTAGTACCTCATAAGAGATGCTCTGTCCATGAAATTAAGCCACAACTACACTACAGACCTACTTACTCATGAATGGAAGGCCGCCTAAGACCACCAGTAAAATGTGCTGCCAGCATATTCCATGGGGGAGGAACTTCTAGGCCTCTGCTTATCCCTGGGAAGTGATGGCACTGACCTTCTGCATACCCTAGCTTTTCCAAACTCAGTACAAATACCAAACACCATTTGGGAGTGCATGCTCTGGGCCAGGCGTTCTACATAAAACATCTCGTTAATTCTCCTAACGACCTTCTGCAATAAGAATTGGCATGCCTATTTTCACATGAGGAAATACAGTTATGCAGCCAAAGCCACTCAGCCTGGAGGAGGCTGAACCAGGACCAGAAGTCCCCACCCTCCGGCCCCACAGTCCCTGACCCCGGGAGCAGGGAAACACGGGCAGCTGGCCCCCAGTGGGTAAGGGAAAGGAACACAGGTCCTGCCCAGGCCAGGACCCAAGAGTCTGATCAGCAAAGTCAAGGGCTGGCCTTCGCCTGAGCAGTACCGCCATTCCTCCTCATGTTTGCTCACATGCACGTACACACACTCCGCTCAGCCTCCTCTACTGCGTGCCACCTGGTTCTGGACCCTTCTCACGGTGGGGTACCTTCCACAGGTGTCTTTCTTCAGTCTATTATCATTGCATGCGATTCCCACGCGCCTCCTCCCAGGGACCAAACGAAACACAAAGCTGGACTCTCGCACTGGCCCCGCTGAGTGGGCACAGGCTCTGAAACGCTGGCAACACGGAAACACCTGACACTCCCTCGAAGGCCTCAGAGCGGGTCCTGCAGAGGTTCTGCTGGGCTCCCTCACCGGGCCCAGCTGGATGTTCACGGCGGTGGCACCTCTGCCTGAAGCCCTGCCCGGCCCTCCGTCTAGTAAACTGAATGTGCAGAAGGCAGTTCAACTTAGGGTGCTCAGGCGCATCCATGTAAGTGGGGTCACAAGTCTGTGATGAGAAAAAACCTGGCTTGCTTCTGTGGTAGGGTAAAAAGCTGACTCAGTCCTCGCCAGGAAAATCCAAGCTGGCCATGTGTGTGAGAGCACAAACACCACACTTCCTGCCACATCTCAGAGCATCTGTCCTTGTGTTCCCCCCGCCCCCGCCCCCGCCCCCTGCCTCCCCAGGGAAATGTGCCTCGCAAGGCCTTTCCTCACTCTGGGCTGTGTGTTGACCTCCATGATGTTTCTCCATGGAGAGAAAATTCTAAGAATAAGATGAGACTGCAGCAAGAAGTAGCACGAATACTCACACTAGGACGTTCTCTTGGATAGATGTAAATTCTTTTCCTGCTAGACAAGACCACTACACAAAGGAAGACTGGGACCAAGAGATCACGCACATTTTCCATGAACAACTTGGTGATCCCCGGTGTGTCAAACGTGGTTACCGGAGAACCTGCACTGCCGGGAGGGAGCCCACCCGCTGCCCACCCCCTGCCCACACCCCATTTGTCAAGATGCCTTCTCTCGTGCTCGATCCCCGCCCTGCAGCACCTACACAGGCCTCACCTGCGGTTCCCAACAGGTGCGCCTCCTGCTGCCTGGCCTTCTGACCCCATCGCTTCCCAGCTCCCACCCTTCCGAGGCTCCCAGTGCCCTTCAGATCAAGGCCAAACAGCGCTGGAGGAGCCAAGTGTGCCTCCACTGCCAAGCATCATCCAGCGCCCTGCGCTCCTCTCCTCCCCGCCAGACAGCCTGGATTCCGCTCAGAGCCACAGCCCCGCCATGCTCACACCCCTGCTCACAGGCCTCCTCCACCTGGATCACTCCAAGTCCCTGTCCTCCCTCCCCTTCCCTATCCTTCTCCTCCAACAGCACTTCCTGGGCCAGGCAGCCCTCAACCCCCAGAACCAATCAGTTACACCTGTGGTCACACACGCTTCACCCCAGCCTCTCCACCTGCCACCTTTGACTTCCCTGCTGGACAAGCAGCTTGCTGAGGTCAACACCATCTCCACGCCTCCCACAGACGCAGACTCGATACACACTGGCTGGCTGACTCTCACTGAAGTAGCCAGCCAACAAAGGAGACTAAATAATAAATGTGCTAAGACTTATGCACTATTCTTTTCAAATTATGTAGCTGCTGTGATTAATCAAAGATCAATTCAACAGAAACCTTTGCTCAGTTCGTGGCTGCTTTCTGCTGTTTATTCTCTGAAGCAATGAACACTAGAAATTCAGGCACTGCATCTCCACCTACCACCTGGGGAACCCCCCCACACACCAAATGACATCACAGGCCGTCCTCGGAGGATCGGAGTTTGAGTCCCAGCCCCGGCACCCAATTCTGGCTTCCTGCCAACACACAGCCTGGACAGCAGCAGCAGACGCCTCAGGAATCGGGGCCCTGCCACCCACGTGGGAGACCTGGAGTGAGATCTTTGCTCCTTGGCACAGCCCTAGCCACTACAGGCACTTGGAAAGTGAACAAGCCGATGGGACAGTTCGCTTGGTCTCTGTCTCTCTCTCTGCCTCTCATATAATAACCAAGAAAAAAGGGGAAGTGGTCTTCAGACTCATAGCCCATTTAATAGAACAGTTCAAAGCCATGCCATCATTGTGCCTATTATTAACAATGGAAACTGCTTCCCAACTGAGGCTGCTAAGTCCCTTAGTGTAGCAGAGTATAGCGTAG